AAAACTTGATAAAAAAAATAGTATTTCAAACTGTATAGTCATCAGAAGTACACAGTTATCAAAAATGCACACACTTCACTTGGCATCTCCAGCACCTTCAGCTTTCTGTGCCTGGTCTGTTTTGGCGTCTCCGTTTTCTGCAGGGTTATTTCCATCCTTGCCAGCATCAGCCTTCCCCCTTTTTCCCTTTGAGTACTTTCTCTCCCTTCTTTGCAGGGGCCTTTTTAGGCTTAGGCTCTGGCTTTGGAGGAGCAGGTTTAGCAGATAACCTTGCATATCTCCTCTGTGGCTTGTCCTTCACCTTGGCTTTATCTCCCTTAACATCTCCTTCAGCCTTTCTCTTGGGCATGGTGGTGGCGACGGCGGGATGCAGGCGCTGGACTTGAGGATGCAGCAACGTGCATGCTTGGACCGATCTGGGGGTCGTTCTCGCCTCTTCTTCACACTGCTCCTGTGTCATTCATCTTGTTGAGGATCTTTCTCTCTTTCTATGACCACCTTTCCCAGCATAATGTACTTTCCCAAGGATTAGCCCCTCTTGACAGCATGCACAAATCATATGTGATGAAGTTTCACCTTCCTTGCCTCTAATATCACCCTGGCTGCATTTTCTCCAAGACAGACTTATTTGCTCTTTTGGTAGTTCATGAAATATTCAGTACTCTATTCAAACATCACAATTCAAAGGCATCACTTCTTTTTCTGTAATTCTTATTTCCTTATTTCCACAAACTACACTTGTGGGAAGACTTGACTTTGACTGCTCATTATCAGCAGTCACAACAAGGTCAGGAGGTGACTGGAACAGATAGTAAATTACCCATGTGCAAGTTCAAATGGAAGTTAAAGAAAATGAAAATAAGCCCAAAAGAACCAAATATGATCTTGAGTTTATCTTACCTGAATTTAAAAACTACCTCAAGAATATATTTGATGCCTTGAACACTGATGATTGAACACTAAATGAATTGTGGGATGGTCATTAGAAAGACAGGAGAGAAAGAAAAGACCAAAACAGATGTCAGAAGAGAGTCCAAAAATTTCACTGAAATGTACACAGGCCAAGACAAAGAGAAGAAATGCTGAAGTAAAAGAGATGAACAGAAGAGTTCAAATGGCAGCTTGAGAAGACAAAGCAAAGTGTTAAAATGTTCAACAAGGTAGAGTTGGAAAACCCAAAGGGAAGAATATGCTTGGTATTTCTCAAACTGAAAGATTGAAAACCAAATTAAAGCCTAGAGTTGCAACACTGAAGGTTCTCATGGGCAAAATCTTGAGTGGCACAGAAAACATAAAGAGAAATTGTAAGTAATACACGGAGTCAAAGAATTGGTTGACACTGAAACATTTTAGAAAATAGTATATAATCAATAACCAATAGTTAGGAAGGAAGAAATTAATGTGGCACTGAAGACACAAAAAATAAGGCCCCAACATTACATAAGAGTAAAATCTTCCTGAAGATTATTCAAAAGCAGTTGGACAAATACATCAACAAAAGAACTGCCAGTAATTCAAGCTGGATTCAGAAGAGGCTGTGACATGAAAGATATTATTGCTGATGTCAGATATATCAGAAAGATGTTTATCTGTGTTTTGTTGGCTATTCAAAACCACTTGACTGTGTGGATCATAAGAAATTGTGGTTAACATTAAGAATGGGAATTCCAGAGCACTTAATTGTTCTCATGCAAAAGCTATACATAGACCAAGAAGCTATTGTTCAGACAGAACAAGAGAACACTACATGGTTTAAAAGCAGGAAAGGTGTACATCAGGGTTGTATTCTTTCTCCTATTCAATCTGTATGCTGAGCAAATAATTTGCAAAACTGAACTGTATGAAGAAGAATATGGCATAAGGACTGGAGGAAGACTCGTCAACAATGTGCATTACGCAGATGACACCACCTTAATGCTGACAGTGAGGACTTGAGAACCTTGCTGCAGAAGATCAAAGACTAAAGCCATCAATACATTGACTACTCAACATCAAGAAAAAATCCTTACCAATGGACAATTAGGCGGCAATGAAATAGATGGAGAAAAGATTGAAACTGTCAACTATTTCATTTAGCTTGAGTCCACAATCAACACCCATAATAGTCAAGAAACCAAAAGACATGTTGCATCAGAAAAATCGGCTTTCAAGGGGCTCTCCAAAATGCTGAAGAGCAATGGTGTCAGTTTAAAGACTAAGGTGTGCCTGATCCAAGCAATTTTCAATTGTTGTTATGTGTCGTACAGTCGTTTGCGATTCATAGAGACCCTATGTACAACAGCCCTAAATCTTGCTCTATCCTGTGCCAATCGCACTGCCTCTGACACACCCATCCCGATTATCCCAGTCACTGAATCAGTCCATCTCATAGAGGGTCTTCCCCTCCTCCTGCGCTGTCCCTCTACCCTCCCAAGCATGACGTCTCTATCCAAGGACCTGTCCCTCCTTACAACATGTCCAAAGTATGTCAGACGAAGCCCCAGAATCCTTGCCTCCAAGGAGTAGCCTGGTTTAACCCTCTCCAAGATGAATCTGTTTATTTTCTTGGCAGTCCATGGTACATTCAGTACTCTTCTCCAGCACCACAGCTCAAAGGCGTCAATTCTCCTTCTATCCTCCCTAGTCATTGTCCAACTCTCTGATGCATAACAAGTGATTGCAAAAACCATGGCCTGTATCAGACGCACCTTAGTCTCCAGAGACACACCGTTGCTCTTGAGTACTTTAGAGAGGTCCCTAACAGCAGACTTTCCCATCGCAATACGTTTTTTGATTTCCTGGCTACTGGTGCCAAGAGTGTTGACCGTGGAGCCGAGCAAACTGAAACTGTGAACAATCTCAATCTCTTTGCCATCTATCCTGATACTGCCAGTTGGTCAATTACTTTTATTATATTCCTTTTTTTCATTTTCAAATTAACTTTATTTTTATTATTATTAATTTTAATGAAAATTTACAGAGACTTTGGATTTCCGTTCATTCATTGCACTTTTCTCCCTGCTCACCCCTCCCCCCAGTACACTCTTCTCTTTGAAAAGTAAAAGAAAAATTCTTCCATTGTTTTACAGTCCCTCTCCCCAGGTCCACCCCACTATGCAGCCTTTGTTCTGGACTACTGTCATGACAATAATACCTACTCACACATCCCTTTTTTAAAAATTTTTTTTAATTATTATTATTATTTGTGTGTGTAACGTCAAATTGGATCTGACTGGTACAGGAGGAGATTGTCCTTCTTCAGCAGAGCATCTGGTGGATTTGAACCACGTGCCTCTGGGTTGCGGTTCAGCTTCTTGCCACTAGGCCACCAGAGCTCGCCTGACACATCCCTTTTAAACAGTTTTCTCCCTCAACTGTTTCAATGCAGTATACATTATTTATCCCATCTTTCTCAGTCTCCCCCTAACCCCATGTCAGTCTTGTTTTACAACAGTGGCACTATGCAGTATTTGTCCTTTTGTGCTGAGATATCTCACTCAGCATAATGTCCACCAGGGTCACCCATTTGGAATAATATTGCATGAGTTCCTTGTTTTTCAATGCAGCGTAGTACTCCATTGAGTGACTATACCACAGCTTCTCTGTCCACGCTTGTGTTGATGAGCACTTAGGTTGTTTCCAACTCCTTGCTATTGTGAACAAAGCCGCGATAAACATGGATGTGCATATATCTGCTTTGATGTCATTTATGGTCTCTTTGGGGGTATATATATTTCCAGTAGTGGAATTGCTGGGTCAAATGGTATCTCTATTTGCAACTTTTTGAGAAAGCGCCACACGGCCTTCCACAGTGGTTGCACCATTTTACACTTCCAACAATAGTGAATAAGCGTTCCAGTTTCTCCACAACCTCGCCAGCATTTGTTGCGTGCTGTTCTCTTCAATGTTGCTATTCTTACTGGGGTGAGATGATATCTCATAATTGTTTTGTCAATTACTTTTCATAAATTGAAAGTTGGAGAATGAACAAGGATGGCAGAATAAGAATCAATATCTTTGAGTCGTGATGTTGAAGAAGAGTACTGAATATTCCACAGACTGTCAAAAGAACAAACAAATCTATATCAGAGGAAGTGCAACCAGAGTGTTCCTAAAGGTAATGATGGTAAAGCTTTGTCTCACATACTTAGGGTATTTGTTAGGAAAGGGCAGTCCTTGGAAAAAGACACCATGCTGGGAAAGATAATGGGTTAGAGAAAAAAAGAAAGGCCCTCAGAGAAGCAATAAAACACAATGTATGTGAATGATAATATGAAACACATTGTATACGAATTTTATATGAAATCAATATAAAATAAAATGTTGATTCTATGTGCGGTCGAATCACCTGAAACTCATAACGACCTGCAACAATAGCTAGGCAGCCTGTCCTATCCTTAGCCAGTCTCACTGACACTTCTATCCCATTGCCCCGGTTACTGTATCAATCCATCTCAACCGGGATCTCCCTCTCCTGCGCTGTCTCTCCGTGTGTGATATCCTTCTCCAATGACCGATCCCTTCTGGCCACATGCCCGAAGTATGTAAGACGGAGCTTCAGAATCCTAGACTTCCTGCCCCGGGCCGGGGTCCCAGGCGCCCTGACCAAGTAGGGCCAGGACAGTGGCGCAGAGCCAAGGACGGTGCAGGGTCCTGAGGTCTCACTGGCGGCGGCGGTGGCGCTGCTCTGCAACTGCCGCCCTGCGCTTGCGCACTGGGCCCAGCGCGCCGTAGCGCGATCCCGTGTGGCTGCCGCAGAGTGCCAGCAGGAACTGGCAGCGCGGCCCCAACCTCTGTCTCCGCCAGCACCATGTCGGGCAGGTCGGTTCGAGCCGAGACCAGGAGCCGGGCCAAAGATGATATCAAGAGGGTCATGGCGGCTATCGAGAAAGTGCGCAAATGGGAGAAGAAGTGGGTGACAGTGGGTGATACGTCCCTACGGATCTACAAGTGGGTCCCTGTGACGGAGCCCAAGGTAGACGAAAAGAACAAGAATAAGAAAAAGGGCAAAGATGAGAAGTGCGGCTTAGAGGTGACTCCCCGGGAGAACAGCTCCTCTCTCGGCATGATGAACATGCATGGCGCCAACAGCAACCAGAGCTCCATAGCAGACTCCTCCCCCATCAAACAGGAAATCAGCATCAACTCAAGCTCCGCTATGGCCAACTCGGCCGTGCCCGATGAGGTCGCAGAAGCCAAGGCAGACGAGGCCCAGGCTGACAGGAAGGAGCACCCTGGGGCCAAAGACGCCGACGACGAGCAGAACTCGCAGTCTTCGATGGAAAACTTGACAAATTGTTCAGAGAAAGTGGGAAGGCAGCCATCTCGGGACGCGGGTCTCGCCTCAAACGAAGTAGCAATCTCTCAAGCTTTGGAAAGAGTGCCAACATTGAAAAACCAGAAGCTGGAGGGGCTGCAGCCTGAGGAGCTGTAGGCAGCCGCCCCGCCCATAGGCTCGCCCGCCTCGCCGCGTCACCTGTCGGGCGCCCCCGGAACTGCAGCCTCAGCATCTACTGCGCAGACCGGAAAGTCTTCGCGAAGCTGCCTTTGCGCGGGAGCCGCTGGCTCAAGAGTTGTCGGTCTTCCACAAACTGTCTCTGAAGCCAAGATTCCATTTGTGTTGGTGCTGTATCCTCCCCATCCCTCTCCCCCCCTTCTCTATATAGCGATATAAGCTAGCGGAGATGGTCTCCACTGCTCATCAGGGTGTGTCACCTCCAACTCTCTTCTGTTGCTTTTTTTGTGTGTGCCTTGTGCTCGTCAGGTGCCCTCTGGCCTGGTTTCCGATTGTTTTCGCGTTGCCCTTTCTGCAAAGTGCCCTCACCTCCCTTCACTAGTACTTCCAGCGAAGCGCAGCAGGCAGGGAGATGGTGGAGAAACTGAGGCTGATGAGGAGCAGGGAGCCCCTGGCCTGCGCATTGCCAGGTGAGAGGTATTGGGTGAACTGGTTGGGGCCAGTAACGGTGTCCAAGGCCAGAGGTCACAGTTTTCAGGGAGAGGTCCCCAGGGCTCGCCGCCTGGGTCCTCAAGGTGCTCTCGCTTGCTCAGGACAGTTGAGGGTAGGATAACGACCACCTCTGTGGCCAGAAAGCCCTTTGATTTCTCTGGCTCTTGCACGTCACCTCTACACTTCTTCGCAGACCTCCAGCGATGAGGTGGTTTTGACGACTAGCTGCGGACTGAGCACAGGACTAGCTGTTGCTGACCTCTCTCCTAGGATGGTGCTTGGGTTGCAAATCCAAAGTAGCTCTCCGGCCTCTGCCACCCCATCGCTGCGCTCCTTTTCCCAGCAGGTGGCCGATACCACCAAGCTTCTGCTCTATGTCCCGAACTCCAAGCGAACACAGAGCTACTTCTACAATGTGCTGTTGCCCCCCAGCGGGGAGCAGGCCTCAGTGAATAGGCCTCCAAGGCCACAGACTAGGCACCCAACAATCAGAAAGTTTTGCACTCTCCAGAAAGGAGTGACTGACACACACAAACACACACCTCTGTCCCTGTCTTCCCCACCCCCCACCCCCCACCCCCGTCCCTCGTCCCTTCTTCCTCCCCCCACTTGATTGGGGACAGCTTCCTGTCACAGGTGCCCCTCCCACGAACTGCCCCACTGTGGTTGAAGCCTGATTTACTCTTCCTTAAATCTACAGACTCCTTAACCTTAAACTGTTTCCTGAGCATTTTTTACTGCACTGGAATTCTGACTCAATTTTAATTATGTGTTGGAGGGAGCAGGCTGCGGGTTTTGTTGGGGTCTTCTTTGTTTTTGTTTTGTTTTTTTTCTGCTAATCGGTGCATTATTCAGGTACCACCTTTGTCATGTGGCTCTTTGGCCTGACCACCACAGGAAGTTTCTAAGAGTTTCTGAGGGCAAGGCTCTTGACTACTATTATTGTTACTATTTTTTTAAGATAGCCAATCTAGTTATTGCATTTCAAGAAGAATCAAAATGTTTCTGAATTTCAAGTACCACATGCAAAATATTTCCTGAAATATGGGAAAAAGGGAAAAAACCAACACCAAACCCTTAGGAAATCTGAATGTTGAAGTTCGCCATGCCAAAAGATGTCTGGAAAAAAGAAAAAAACCCTTGTGCTTCTGGAGCTTCTTCCCGCAAGCAGTCAGCTCTGTGGAGAACTGGTCTGCGTGGAGATGCAGAAACAACCAGGAGTGTTTGCTCCTGACAGGTGCTTCAAGGGGGCTTCTACTCTAAGGTGTCTACTCCAGGGTTAACTTTTTCCTTTGTGACCAAACTGTATTTTTGGTGAAAGAGGACTTGTAGATTGGATTCCTTTTCTTTATGGAAAACCAGAGTTGCGAGGCAGGAGAGCTTAAGGAGACCGATGGGCCTCAACCTGTGGTGATCTCAGGACAGGACAGGGGCATGGAAACAGGTGAAGATGAAAAGCTGGCTGTAGGACCTAGGCGGTTACTGTTTTTCTTTGAAGTGTCTGAAGGTAGGAATGGGCTGGTGATCAGGCCCTGGCACAGCCAAGCCAGCAGAGGGCCAGCCGGTTACACAGAAAAAGGTGGCCCCCTCTAGTCTGAACCAGATTGCAAATCCACATAGGCTTTCTTGCCTTGCACTGAATCAATCCATCTCATCAAAGGTCTTCCTCTCTTGCTCTGTCCCTCCACCCTCCCAAATATTATGTCCCTCTTCAAGGACTGGTCCCCCCTTGCAACATGTCCAAAGAATATCAGAAAAAGCCTCAGCATCCTTGCCTCCAAAGAGAAGCCTGGTTTCACCCTCTCTAGGACAAAGCAAGAGTGGCATCCACTTCCTAAAGAACATGCCTCTGGAAACTCTATAAACTTTGAGAAACAATGATAGTTATAGAAAGGCTTCAGGCCTTTTGTTCATAAGGTCATTATGAGTCATGCTCAACTTGAAGGCAATCAACAACAACAGGACAAATCTATTTGTTCTCCTAGCAGGCCAGGGTATATTCAATACTCTTCTCCAGCACTACAACTCAAAGGCATCAATTCTCCTTCTATCATCCCTAGTCAGTGTCCAGCTTTCTGACACGTAGCAAGTCATTACGAAGACTGTGGCCTGAATCAGGCACATCTTAGTCTCCATCGTTGCTCTTCAGTACTCTGGAGAGGTCCCTGATAGCAGTCTTTCCCAACACAATCCTTCTTTTAATTTCCTGGCTGGTGGTACCTAGAGCGTTGATTGTAGAGCCAAGCAAATGAAAGCTGTTTACAATCTCAATCTCTTTTGTCTATCATGATGCTGCCAATCAGCTCAGTGGTGAGAATCTGTTTTCTTCATGTTGAGATTCAATCCATATTTAAGACTGCAGTACTTGAAAGGACTTGCAAGTGCTTCAGGTCCTCCTCAGTTTCAGCTAGCAGGGTTGTGTCATCTGCATAACGCAGATTTTTGATAAGTCTTCCTCCAAGCCTGATGCCACATTGCTCCTCATAGAGCCCAGCCTCATGGATGATCTGTTCTGCATACATATAGATTGAAAAGGTATGGAGATATGACACATCCCTGACATACATCCTTCCTGATTTTGAACCATGCAGTGTTACCTTGCTCTGTTCAGGCGACTGCCTCCTGGTCCAAGTGCAGGTTTTGCATAAGCACAATCAAATGTTCTGGGATTCACATTCTTCTCAGAGTTGCTGGTCTTCATAGTATAAATCATAGTTGAGAGAGAGCTCTGGTGGCCTAGTGGCAAGAAGCTGCACTGCAATCTTGAGGGTTTGAATTCACCAGATGCTGGAGAAGGAGGGGCAATCTCCTCCTGTGCCAGTCAGATCCAACTCAATGGTACACAACAAGAAAAAAAGGGGCAAAAGAAAAAAAAAATCATAGTTGATTCAGTGGCACCTAGCAACAGCCTTTCTTGCAAAAAGGTGAAGAAGACTTTAAACATTTTCTCCAGTAGATAAAAGAGTACAGCACTCAATATGAATTACATCTCAATATCAAGAGAACAAACCCCATCACTACTGGACCAGTAGGCAACACCATGGTAGATGGAGAAAAGACTTACGTTGTCATGGATTTCATTTTACTCAGATCTACAACCAATACCCATTGTAACACAGTCAAGAAATCAAAAGATGTGTTGCTTTGGGAAAATCTATTGTCAAGGACCTTTCCAAAGTGCTAAACAGCAAGGATGTCAGTTTAAATATCAAGATGCACTTTATCCAAACCATAGTTTTTTCAATTGTTTCATATGTATCTGAAAGCTATAATATAGAGGCAAATAGCAGCACAGATCAAGTCAGATCTAATAGAAAAAAACCAGATTCTTATCAGTGTAATAGGAGAAAGGCTATGTCAACATATCAACAGCATTCAATTTCTATCCTGAGCAAATCATTCAAGGAACTGAACTATATGAAGAGATATGTGCATCAGGATTGGAAGAAGACTTATCAACAACCTGCATTACTCAGATGACACAACCTTGCTTGGTGAAAATGAGGAGGACTTGAAAAGCTTGCTGCAGAAGATCAAAGACTAAAGCCTTCAATGTATAATGCATCTCGACATCAACAAGACAAAAATTCTGACCACTGGACCAACAGGAAAGAAAACAATTAGCGGGTTTGGAAACACTAATGACCAACTGGAAGGTATGTGTCACTCCCTTAAGAAATTAACGTGAAATTAGATGATAAATGAATATTTCTGTATTACAGTTGAAAAGTATTTAACAGAATATATTTAACAAATAATTGCATAAAATAGTTGTAAGGAATCGTGATGCCAATGCAAAGTTACCCAGTTCAAATCCACCAGCTACTCCGTGAGAGAAAGATGGGCAATCTCCTCCCGTGGGATTTACTGCCTCTGAAAACCCACTGGAAGTTTAGTTATGGGTTGATTCGGGCTCTAGTCAAACATACAAATTCATTTTCTTTAGAGCAGAAATAAATTTTATTAATTAGATTTCATTTTAACTTTTTCCTCAGTCAACAATGACCCCTTTCTATATAAACATCATCTAGATCCAGCAATTGTCAGGATTGTATTGTATTTACATTTTTATGTGGCTAAATTACTTTAAAGCAAATCCTATATTTCTCCCCTGTTAAAGATGTATGCCCAAGAAATATACTTTAAGGGAGCTCTGGTGGCCTAGTGGCAAGATGCTGCACTGCAACCCCGAAGACACTTGGCTTGAATCCACCAGCTGCTCTGCCGGAGAAGGAGGGGTCATCTCCTCCTGTGCCAGTAGGATCCCATTCAATGGCACACAAGTAAAAAAAAAAAAGAAAGAAAGAAATACAACCTTAAAACAAAACATGAAAATCTGTCCCAAATAAGTGAGATCAAGTTTCACCATCTTTCCTCCATGACAGACTTGTTTGTTCTTTTGGCAGTCCATGGGATATTCAGTACTCTTCAACACCACACCCCAAAGGCATTAATTCTTCTTCTGTCATTCCTATTCATTGTCCAAC